GTAGGACAGGGGGAAGAATGGGAAAAAAAAAAAAAAAAAAAAGAGTCAAATTTGTGGGTTGAGATAAAGACAGTTTAATAGGACAGAAAAGGAAGGTGGTAATAATAATAATGATATCATCAATAATAATAATATACAAAATAAGTGACGCACAATGCAATTGCTCCCCACCTGCCAACCTATGCCCAGCCTGTCCCTGAGCAGCAATCACTGCCCCCACAGCCTACTCCCCCCAGTTTATATACTGAGCATGAAGTCACGCAGTATGTAATCTCTTTGGCCAGTTGGGGTCAGCTGTCCTGGCTGGGCCCCCTCCCAGCTTCTTGCTGGCAGGGTATGTGAAGCTGAAAAAGTCCTTGACTAGTCTAAGCACTACTTGGCAACAACCAAAAAATCAGCGTGTTATCAACATTCCTCTGATCATAAATCCAAAACACAGCACTGTGCCAGCTACTAGGAAGAAAATAAACCCTATCCCAGCTGAAACCAGGACAGTACCCACCCCTTATTCTATACCATCTACATTATGCCCAGGTCCCACACTTTCCAATACATCCCAATTAATCACCACCACCTTTCCTGTCTTTTATATGTACACACAGACCTTACGCATATGTAAGAGTGATGCTCTGAACTTCACGTATTAATTAGGTAAACCCGACAAACATCAGACTCACCCATTTCTCTTACTGATTTTACAATACTGGCAGCACAAAACTGGATGATACTCAGTGGCTCCAGGTTAAGTTGTCCCAGAATTTTCAGTTAGGGTTTCTCTTTTTAGGACAGACCAACGTTTGCCAAGCTACATGACGTGGACCTGGCAACTAAGACATCCTTAAAACTGGGGTTCAAAGGCTTTCAGAGTTGTAAGCAAGATGTGAGGAATGCCAGACATGGCTGGTTACCTTCGAGCAAAGGATGCTAGAAATCCTGGCTGACAAAGATTCATGCAGAAAACCTTTGCTTTGGGTCAGCTGATATTTCTGTGAATGTTGGATACTCAGGGCAAGGTGTTGTGAGCCCAGTGCTCTCCAGTAAATCTCCAAGTTACTGAGAAAAATCCATCACATTCTGCTAGCATGGCCTACTTTTTTAGTTTTGGTATTAAAGGTAACATGTTGCATATCAACAAAATGCGACCCAGCCTGTATTTATTCCTCTATTACAACTTTAGAAGACATATTCCAAGAAAACACTCTGTTGTCATGTTTTAATATAATACAAGTCAGAGGTTCACACCTGGAAGAACTGAAGAAGAACTGAAGATATCCTGACAAAAACATTTCATGTTATCCAAATATCTAACCTTTCATGTTGTTGAAATGAACTCATTAATTTCAATAATTCTTGAGTTCAAACAATGCTAATGTCCTAATAGCAGTATTAAATAGCTTGGCTGTAGCAGTGTTAACCATGATTCTTGAGCCCAAATTCCTAAAATCATCCACTCTGAAGCCCTAACTGGCTCTTTAAAAGTCAGGTGCAGACAGTCTGGCTTCAATTAAACTTCTGTCCTTTGTCAATATGAGTACAGCTGGCGTGAACCAAAATTAAATGGCATCCCAAAAAATAAAGACTATCAAAACTATCAAAAGCAGGATAAACTTTACTTTTTTCCTAATATCCAATCTAAAACTCCCCTGGCACAACTTGAGGCCATTTCCTCTCATCCTATCGCTTGTTACTTGGAAGAAGAGACCAACAACCACCTCACTACAACCTCCTTTCAGGTAGTTGTAGACGGCCGCAAGGTGTCCCCTCAGCCTCCTTTTCTCCAGGAGAGAAAGGTGCTCTAGACCCTTCCTCAGCTTTGCTGCCCTTCTCTGGACATGCTCCAGCACCTCAATGTCTTTCTTGTAGTGAGGGGTCCAAAAGTGAATACAATATTCGAGGTGCGGCCTTACCAGTATGGAGTACAGGGGCACGATCATTTCCCTACTCCTGCTGGCCACACTATTTCTGATATGAGCCAGGGTGCCATTGGCCTTCTTGGTCACCCTGGGCACACTGCTGGCTCATATTCAGCCAGCTGTCAACCAATACGCCTTTCCACTGGGCAGCTTTCGAGCCACTCTTCCCCAAGCCTGTAGTGTTGCATGGGGTTGTTGTGACCCAAGTGCAGGATCCAACTCTTGACCTTGTTGAACCTCATCCAACTGGCTGTGGCCCATTGATCCAGCCTGTTCAGGTCCCTCTGTAGAGCCTTCCTACCCTCGAGCAGATCAATGCTCCTGCCCAAATTGGTGTCGCCTGCAAACTTACTGAGGGTACACTCAATCTCCTTGTTCTGATCATTGATAAAGATATAAAACAGAACTGTGTGACCCTTCATTACTCTTCTGGCTTCTTTCCCTGAAAACAGTGATTTAAATGGCAAGTTTTGCAGCACACTGAAAGAAAGCTGAGTAGTAGAGTTTACAGCCGGTTTCCTGTTGCCCATTTGCATTTTGATGCCAATACTCTTAAAAATATTAATTACTTGTAGTTACTCTACCTGATAACATTTACAATTCTAATGTACCAGGGGCCCTCTTGCAGGCATAATATAGTTAAATAAATACATTCACTGAAAGTAATCTAGCAAAAGGATACATATAAATCCAAATATTGTGGGATACACAAAAAGCTAACTGAAGTCTTGCTGTTGGTAATATTTGGGCAGGGTCACATTGCCCTAAGAGGAAATAGAAAACAAAAAAGCCAAAAATGTACTGTTGGTGCCATTGTAAATTCCTGTTTAATGACTGTGGGTATTGTTTGGATTGAGTTTTTTTAATAAATCCCTTAACTCTCTCCCATCAAAATACATGTTGTTATGAGAAATCGATACCATGGTGATTTTTCAGTTCTCACAACCTTTCTATGTAGGGGGAAATTAAATACAATGCCCTCACAAGAGTATTCCTAAGAGTGATATTCAGGCAGCATAATCTTAATGGGGAGTGGACATTGTGGCCCTAAGAAGGACTGGACTTCATGAAAGTCACCCTGTGTACACACTAGAGTCTTACTTCTGCAGTGAGCATGAAATGGGGCTTAGGAAAGTATGTAAAGTTTCACAGTCAAACTCTCAGGAAAGAGCAAGAGTTTTGCAGTGAAAATTCTACAGCTCTGAAGAAATAAACAACTGCTTTCAGTCCCTCAACTAAATATCTCCTTTGCCAGCAACTGAAGGATTTTTTTTGTTTTCTTTTTTGATGTTGCTATATGGCTTAACAAGA